TAACTAAACCCAACCAAACTAACTAACTAAGTAATAGTGTAGTAGTACCTCTCTCTACAAACTAACTAAGTAAGTATAGTGTATAGTCCTCTCTCTCTCTCTCTCTCTCTCTCTCTCTCTCTCTCTCTCTCTCGGGCCCATGTGCTGTCTTTACATATGAGAAGAAGAAGAAAAGAGGGCCTCCAAGTGTTCGATAGGAGGCCTTTCTCTCTCTCTCTCTCTCTCTCTCTCACACACACACACACACACACAAAGATACACATGAACTCATATGCTCCCTCTTTACATGTAAGAAGAAAAAGAAGAAGATAACCTCCAAGCATTTGATGTGAGGTCTCTATCTTTCACAATCTCTCTCAACATATTAGAAGAAGAAAAAACAGAATGTCCTCCAAGTGTTCGAGACCTCTCTCTCAAAAATATGGATCTAAAAAAAAAAGGGATGATCTCTAAGAATTTCATGCGAGGCCTCACGCAAACACATACGCGTGCATGCACATACACACTACACATATACATGCACACACATTCATAAAACATACCCAAAACAACATATGCGCCCCCCCCCCGCCCGGCACCCCAACCCCTGCCCTTAGGGCCACCTATGTATTTAGACAGCCGCCTCCGCCTTTCTGAACATTGGGAGAAAGCACAGAGAAAACTCATCATTAAAATGGATTCCGGATAAGAAACAATGTTGACACAATTGAAAGTCTACTTAAATTACTCAGGGCGGGAATCTAATGAAATTAAAAGATAAGTGGATTGCCAATGAAATTAAAGGATAAGAGGACTGTTGTATACACGCATGCTTCTGCAGTCATTCCTAATTCTTGTCATTCACACCCAAAACCTGTCTTAAATATCAAAAACACGTGTTGGCAATGCTTTCGCCCATTTAATCAGTGCAAATAACAAGAAGATGGATGCCAATAGAAATCCATAATTACAAAATCTACAGTAGAAGTGGTGAGCTTTTGCAATAGAATGCCCTTGTCAAAACCTAGGCAGGCACTTGCTAAGGAAAACAATGCCTGCATAACATCACACTAAGGAACAAAGAGTTCATGCCGGCAAATTCCTCAAGAGAAAAAGCCCACCACTCCACCCTATAAACCCCAAAATTCCATGGAAAACCCACAGTTCTCTCTGGAATCATGATAACTTCACCATACGCCTAGATGAAATCTTGCAGTTCTTAAAATTACCAACCAATGCACGAGGAAGTAGAACCTTTCCTCTAGCATAAATGATAGTATTCATAAATTCACCCCCGACAACAATAGGCTTCCATAAATCATCCAACAGTATAATCCCAATTAAAGGCAGCTTTTAGTTTGGCCCATGTAGACATTGTCCTTCTCAATGGCCTAGCAAAATGCGTCATAATTTAAAACCCCTTTCCATTTGTATGAAACCCAAAAGTCATAACTGCTAGTCCCAACATTCCCTTGGCACATCCATCAAATTTGAGTTTCATATGTTCAGAATTGTGCTGTTGACAAGGCCTTATCACTCTTCTTTGATGTACTTAATATAATGAAATGATTAGGTGTACATCCCAGCTGTGGGGGATGCAAAGTTAAGGCATTCTCATGAGGACGCCAAAAGGGAGAAATAATCACCCAAAGAGGTCCATTTATGCACTGATGGACACAATGAGATGGTTGCTTATGTAACACACTTAGAGTTGTTAGAAACGTTTGTGATTCTGAATCGTCTCGGGAATCGGAATCGCGTGTATCAGAAGTTTTGAAATCTAGGAATCGTTGTCCGTACAATTCGGATTTGAGAAAAATGATTCTCACTATTTTGGAATTGCGATTCAAAAAATTAGGAATCGTGTTTCCTATTTGCAAGAATTGATGTCCCTTCATGTTGGAATCGTGTTTCATACCGATATGGAATCACGCATGACCCCACTAGTTTCGGTGGTTGCTAAAATCGTGATACCTAAAAATAAGGAATCGCGATTACTAAAATTCTAGAATCATTGTCCCCATCAACTTGGAATCACCATTCTCACCATTCCGGAATCGTGATTCTCCCTATATTGGAATCGAGATTCTCCCCTTACTAGAATTGCGAACCAACTCCCTTCGGTATATGAGAGAAGCATTCAGAAAATATATAAATTTACCCATTACTACAAGATCGAATTTTGGTCTGTATATAGTCAATTCAAGGCTCCAAGTATTAATGTCAACCTTTATGATATCTTTGTGGACAATACCATACAATGGATTCGGTCTACCAATAACCCTATTATGCCTACAAGGTCTGGAGCTAGTCTACAGCATACAAGGAGTGAGAACAAGGGCCAAGCTCCCTTTATCTCCCTTCCTTGAATTATAAAATATGTACATGACATAGTAATTCTTCTTTGTTAAATGTAGTTTTGAGTCTTTTGACTTTTGAAAATAGAGTTATTCAATTTTTAGTCAATTTCTCTGATATTTAATGATTAATTTAACCTAAAACATCACACAGGGCACTTTGCTCATCTCCTTAGTATCTTCTTATTTTACTTAAAGAAAAGCATTTTTATCCTCTTATTCAACTTGAAGAAATGACGGTGCCGATCATATATTAAAAATTATTACATTAGTAGTTTAGTACCCACACCATTTACCAAACATTAGTAAATTTGAAGTAACATATTTTTTAGTATTATTTATTCTTTGTAAGCGTTCTTAAAAAGTAACATGGAATGAAGGATGGAAATTAGTAAATAAGAAAATAAAAAATTTAACATATTACTTATATTTTAAATTTTGATTTTATTGCCATGTGCAACAACTTCAAATTTTCTCACCCTCTCATACAAGCCACTCTCACTCATGATTGAGCACACATCGAAGGGTTTCTACTCTCCTTATGCTCACATATTACTCATATTTTAAATTTTGATTTTATTGTCGTGTGCAACTTCAAATTCTCTCACGCTCTCATACATGTCGCGCTCACTCATGATTGAGTACACATTGAAGGGTTTCTGCTCTCCCTATGCTCACATTGCTTCCTGACAACATGGATTCGCAATTCCTTAATACTTTGAATCAACGTTTTGCATAAGTAGAATCGCATTGTTGTGTAGCAAGAAATCACAATGTATGCGATATAGAAACTTGATTCCAAACAACATGGATTCGCAATTGCAAAAAATTTGGAAACAACGTTTCTCACAAGAAGAATCGCATTCTTGTGCAACTAAGAATCGTAAAGTCGTTGATATGGAATCTTGATTCTGGTAATCCAGGAATCGAGATTCCTAAACTAGGTGGAATCGCATTCCGCAAAAAATGGAAACGTGATACCTTTCTTTTAGAATCGACTTTCGCCCAGGGAAACGCCGAATTGAGATTCCGAAACGGAATCGCTACCCTTATCGGCAATTCGGCTAACTCTAAACACGCCACCACCACAGAAATTAGTGCATGAAACCCTATGGTAGTGTTAGGCTAAGGTCTTCCTATGAAGTAAGCATAGTATAGGTTAGGGATTAACCCCAATGATGTACCACATGCCTCAGTGAGCCATGGACCCTCCTTCCCAAGTAGCTGGGCTATTTGCTTGACGAGTGAAAGCCAAAAGGCGACAAGGCTTATAGACCTCAATGAGTTTTAGTCTCACCACAGAATGTCAATCAAAACATGCAAAGCCACTTGTATGTCAACTGGGTTATCATGCTATTGTCCTCGAGCGTGTTCCATTAGATTCAAGCATAACCTATATAGATTCACCATGCTAAGTTGGATTGAGTTTTGATTAACCAATCATAAGACATCACCACATGACGTCATGGGTGCTCTAGGAGATCATGATAACTTAAGTGGTTTTTGCAAACGAGCATGGGGAACTTGATCCAAATACAAGCCATGTTAGTCCTCCCATGCTAGCGTTGATTTTCTTTCTTTTTTTTCTTTTTTTTACTACATAATTTCTATGCTAGCATTAATGCTCAAGCAAATGTTATTTTCAAATGGTTTATTTTTATTTTGTTTGAAGGATGACTTTATCAAGTTAAATTTATTTTGGGGTGGAGGTTCATGCCTTATTTACAAACTGTGGGTAAATCTGATTCTATTGTTGGGATACTGTTGGACAGGAGAAGTTTAGTGCTCTTAGAGATAGATACTGCTGGACAGGAGAAGTTTGGTGCTCTTAGAGTTCAAATTTTTTTTTATTAGCTTTGTGGTCATATTTGGCCACTTGATCTACATTTCCATATTCTATCCACTGTGGTATTTGTTGCCAAAATTCTTCTAGCATGTGAAATTACAAGTTGAAGA